ATCCGGTCCGCTGCGGAGGGGCCAAGCAGTTAGCGAAGCCGCGGAGCGCACCGCGGCTCTGGGGCCAAGACCCTGCCCCGCACAGCAGGCGGAGAGGGTCCCCCTTCACCCCGGGGGCCGCAGAGACAGCGTCCCGCTCCAGCTTGTCCGGTGCTGCCAAGAGCTGACCCTGTGCCGCTCCTCCTAGAGCTGCAGGGACGTCGTGCGCCCAGGCTAAGACACCCGCGTCCCGCTTCCCAGAGGGTGACGTGGCCTGTCCCTCGGGTCCCCCAGCTTTAAGCCCCGGGGCTTTTGGTGCGCTTGGCAGCCGCGACTGAGAGGCGAGCGCGTCGAGCAGCTGCTGGCACGGGAAGGGCGGGTGATGGACGCGCCCTTCAGGGCCGGTGTGTGAACACCTGTTCACCCGGGACCCACGGCGGCAGGGGGAAGAGCAGGGGGAGAGGACTGTGCCCTCCCGGAGTAGAGAGAAGTGTGCCCAAGGTGGAGCGCCGTCTGTCCCCTCTGCCTGTCTCAGCGCAGGACTGACTCGCGCTTGTTTCCTCCCATATGCGCCAAAACCTGCTCTCCCTGGGACTGTGTCCAGCACTGCCCGCCCGCGAAGGCGCCGCAGACGCCGAGCCTGGTTACTGCTCACCGGGTCTGAGCAGGCAGGCAGAGGCGGAAAGCCTTGCAAATAGAAGAACCTGGCTGGTCTCTTCTCTCCTCTCTTCTCCTCTCTTCTCTCCTCTTCTCTTTCTCCTCTCTCTTTCTTTCTTTCCTTTCCCTTTCCTCTTCTTCCTCCTCCTCCTCTCTCTTTCCTTCTTCTCTCTTCTATTTTTTAAAAAGATAGCCCTATTTAGCCCCCAGCAAAATATGTGCCACCCCCTTATGCACTCTGCCCCCACCCCGTGCCCTATCTCGATGACTAGGTGCCCAGCTGCCCAACCAAGAACAGCACTGCGCCTGCTCAGAATCCTGGCTCAGGCTTCTTTCTGAAACTCTAGGCAGTCAGGATCAGGGGTTCCTGTGGGGAGGAGAGATTGCAACAGGAGATTATTCTCTCCGGCTCCCTTCTGGCAGATAAGAGTGCTAAGAAGAGAAGCAGCTGGCTGAATGTCTAGAGAAGAAGCAGGCGAACACACAGGGGAAGCTCCTGGACTGGATCTCTGTTCATAAAAAACTCGAGAGGAGTGGGGTTTCCAGGCATAGGCCCCAGAGGGTTGGTGGGTTTTTGTTTTTTTTTTTTTTGTTTTTTTTTTTTCCTCACTGGGATGCACAAATCCAGAGCGTGCTCTCTCCTTGTGTGACCAGTGCACCTGAGGGTGCTGTGTGGTGTACGGGTGAGTAGCTGTGCAGACCCCATGGCCTTAGTCACCCTTCCTGTGTCCTGTTGCACCCTGGCCTGGAAATCCCCCCACTGCCCCATGGCACGACCCGTGGCCCTGAGACAGACAGCTTTCTTTTTCACAGGGCTCTTCCTGTGCCCCACTGTCTGCATCCTAAGAACCCTTGATGTGTTCATGTACTTCCTGACATCACAGACTCCACACACTGCCAAACCGTGCTTTTTAAACTATCTCACCCAAAGAGGGGGAAATAGTTCAGTAGGATCCAGAAGTTTGCCCTGGATAAGTATGTACAGGTGGGCATCCTTGCATTTTCATGACACCAGGCTACCTTAGTCTCCCACGTGAAAAGTCCCCCCTCTTCTAAATTCTTCATAACTATTGCTGTCATTCAAGTTGACTAGGTCTCTCTTTTATAGATTTTAGCAACCAGTATTTAATTTCTTGTGGGCTTGTCCTTTCCCCTTCATCAGTTTCTCCTTTCTCCTTTTATACACATCTCCTTTGTCTCAACAAAGAAGTGTGGTAGGTAGGACAGGCAAGGTTGCTCCAGGAGGACCAGAAGCCTATGCTCTTTCTACACAAGCCTCCTTAGCTCTTAGCATAAGGCTTCCATTTTTCAGGGTTCTTCATGGCTCCAGAGGGCTGCTGGAGTTCTGAAGACTGTTTCATCATTCCAATTAAGAAGGAGAAGAAGGATAGCAAAAGAATATTCCATCCACATGATCTGACCCCTTAAAGCATAATTATGGAAGTCTCATGCTGACCACTTCTAGATTTGAGAACTGGTCCTTCTTAAAAGAGTGTGTCAACACCTAGAACAAAGTCAGGTCTTGTGAGTAAAGGAAGAACAAAGAGGGTGTTAGCTAGGCAACTAGTTATGCCTCTACCTCTGCTTCCACCCACATCCTTCTGTCCTTTTCTGGGGCCTTATACTTTTCCTCTAAGCTTTCTCTTTCTACTATCATTTTCCTCTTTGATCACATTTGTGAATAAACCCTTTGAGCTGTCTTCGATTACATGAGACTGTGAATATGGAAAGCACTTTGTAGAAAACAATGCTATTAATTAATTATTCCTCCCATTGACTGCTCTTTCTGGCCCTCCCTTTTCCTATGAGCCTCAGAATCTGTTGATTTCCCATTCTCTGGATCACACCTAGACCAATACCCCTGCCTCCAAGCTAATTTCCCACGTTTCCTCCTCCCAGCCCATTTTTCCAATGCCAAATTAATTTTCCTAAAACACTCCAACACACCAATCCCTTGGGGTATAACTTTCATAGTTCTCATTTTCTGTCTGATACATAAAATGCATTCTAACTTTTCATTCTTCTAAATCATTCACATTAAGAATAAAAACAACTGCTCGCATCATAAAACACTTCTGAATTTGCAAAGTATTTTTCACATATTCACCTAAGGTAGTCCTAAGACCATTGTCCTCAAGAGGTAATAATTCTTATGGTCTTTATTTTACCTGAGAGTGAGACCCAAGCAAATTTTATTGCTTACCCATGGGCACAGAGCTAATAGACATAGGTGGTACATTGGAAAAACAAAGTGTTTGTTTTCTACTTTACATCACAACCAACACAGAAGACATCCGTAACCCTAAAAGTGTGGGAATTTCTACCCGAGTGTCAGATCCCCCAGGCTGAGTGCTCAGTCCCAAGATTGTCCTCCATTTTTGATGCCAATTGCACGCCCCAGTTTATTTTACCTGTATTTCTGATCAGCCGGCTATCAATTGTTTGCCACAACCTCCACCACACATTCAGCTAATTTGTTAGCTTGGCTCACAGAAATCAAGGAAACACATTTGTTGCTTTCTTATAGAGAATACTACACAGAGTACAGATGAAAAGATGCAATAGGGCCTGGCATGTGAGAAGCGGGCAGAGTTTCCATGCCCTCCACTGGCACAGCACTGTCCAGCAACCCCCATCTGATCAGCTATGCAGAAGATCATGAACTCTGTCCTTTTGGGTTTCTACAAAGATTTCATTCCAGGGATGTGATTGAAGCACGGGCACCTGTACCCCAGTGTCACTGGACACAAAGGGTTGATCTAACGCTAGTAGACTGGTGGGCCAGTTCTTTTTAACATTTTTCATGGATTTATTGCTCCACATTCCTCCCATCAGGATCTGGGGCAGGATCCTTCTGGGTTGAGTAAGTTTTTACAGACTACTAACAGACAAGGAGGATCAGAGGATTTCTTTATGGCCAGCTGTGAGACAGAAGGAGGGGGAATACTAGAGTTTCTATGACCCATCTTAGGGAAGAGAAATTGTAGCTTCTGTAATCCGCCTTGAAAGAGAAATTGTAGCTTC